ATTATCATTATCATTATCATTATCATTATCATTATCATTATCATTATCATTATCATTATCATTATCATTATCATTATCATTATCATTATCATTATCATTATCATTATCAATATCATTATCCTTATTATAATGACAGTATCCTACTTATTCGTTTTTAACTGTCCTACAAAATTACTCATAAAATACCTGATCATCCAGTTGAAGATCTGTAAATGCTGGAATATATTTTGCCCATTCTACCAAAATTAACAACTGTTGTTTCATTGAATCACAAACATCGTTGATACTTGCTAGTTGCCTGTTTGATAAGTCGTAATCGTTAACTGGCGTTGATCCAATTTGCTGCAATAAAACGTAAACATGAGATGACAGACACTTAAAACATCAAAATTTGTACTGTTTTTCAATAGAGTTAATTTAAAGTTAGATCCAGAACGCACGTGTAAATTTTTCACAGTCTCATCGCAGTAATTTTTTTTCGACGGTACATATTGTTTTAAATGAAACTGCAACCACCATATTTTTATTCTTTTATAGTGCGATGATTTAAAATCTGCACAGACGTCTTTTTTTTCACTTTGATGGATCATGTCTAAATGATCATATGCAATGTGGCCCATTAGAAACCGAGATACTTCTATTTTTTTTGTGACGCACGATTCATTTGAAAACTGTAACAAATATCAATTTATGGTACGTAAAAATATTTACAATTAAATAATAATTAAAAATCAAATAATTCTCTAGCTATATTAAAAAAAATAATAGACGGCTAGTAATTAGTAACTAAACAGCTAACAATAAAATATATACAATTTAGTAATATAACTACTTAAATGATTGTGATGATGATGATGATGATGATGATGATGATGATGATGATGATGATTGTGATGATGACGATTCATGATGACGATGACTGATTATGGCTACGATGACGAGGACGACGACGACGATGATGACGACGACGATGATGCTGAAGACGATAATGACGATAACGGTGATGATGACGATGAGATGATGATGATTATATGATGATGATGATGACGATGATGATGATGGCGACATAAAGAAAATTAAAATAAACTAATTCATTAAATTATGCGCTCAATGAAAATTAAAAAGAATATCAGTCCAGAATATTTTTTCAAAATAGACAATATTATCTTAATTAGTATACAGTAGCAAAAAAAAATAAAATGCAGCAAATTGAAACAATATGAAAAAGAAAAACTTTTTTATAAGCTGATGATATAAGCATATAACTGTAAAGTTAGCCTTTTTTCGATTAGACACCTGATTTTGAACATATTTCTATTATGATTTGGTTTAATAAGTACGCTACCTTGGAACTACCTATCAGAAAAATATAACATTATTATTGAATAACTTCACTATTCTCCCATTTACTTCATCAAATAGTAGTGTTGCTACAATTTTTTAATACTAATTGAAACTAATGAATATCTTCTAAATCCCCTTAAGGATTGGACTCTATATGGGTAACTAGTGGCGGTTTTACCATAAGAGCTGCGGTGCTGCAGAACACATAAAATTTTATGTATTTAATCATATTAAATATCAACAAAATATTTAAAGAATCCAAATGTACTCGCGCTAAAATAAATCTAGGAGCTTATATTATTATTTATTGCGACGCGAGCTACGCTCCTTAATATATGCAACCATATACAAAATGTGTGGACAGCGAACAATTAGATGCGTCCTTTGTTTTTATTGGCTAATCAGGCACGTGACCAAGTACACGAAGATAGGGGCTTTTGCGGCTGCAATAGCGACAGCCACTGCACTGCAGTAAATGCAGTAATATTTCGTACGTGGTATGTGGTGGTTTATTTATGCGAGCGGCACGTGTGAATATTTTCGTTTAAGCGTCTACGTCTAGTTATTAAAATGAATAGCGTTTCGTTTTAAAAAAAAACTTTATTTGGTTCTCTGCCTTATGAGGATAAACTAAAAATAAAAGAAGTAAAAGTTATAAAAAAACAATAATGTATACACAAAAGCAGAGTGGGTGTGCGGGTATGATTTAAAAAATTCACTGTTTTGTTTTCCGTGGTTACTTTTCGGTGGGGATAAAGCATGGGCAATATACAGTGTGAAAGATTTAAGTCATTAAGTCTTTAGGTAAAATAAACATAAGAAGTCAGTTAGATTCTGCATATTGGGATAATATACGGAAACACAATGAACAGGTAATGAAAAATCGTTATGTATTATCTAAAATCATAGATTGCATAAAATTTGCGGAGCTTTCGAATTAGCACTTCGCGGACACGACGAGACAGAAAATTCGGACAACCCTGATGTGTTTCGTGGACTCATAAATTTTAGTGCAGATCTTGATGACATATTAAAAGAACATCTAGCCAGATAGATATGACCGGGATTTTCTGTGATTGTACCGGGAATTAGCTGTATGGTCCCGGATTTCGGATTTGCACTCCCGGAATATAACTCTTGATAACTCCCGGAATATAATATATATATAAAGATAAAGAAAAAATCATAACACGCCGAGGAAAATTAAAATTCGTTGAATCGTTGGTAAATTTCATAAACGATTTTTTTGTTTATAAACAATATTCAATAATTTAATAAAATATATTTAATTTATTCCAATTTATTTATACCATCAATAGGTAATTCGTAAATAGATATTTCAAAAAGGTATCAACTTCAAAAATCATTCCTGTGAAAATATATATTTTTTTTATAAATTCATTGTTCCTTGAAATTCAGAAGTGCCAGGAAAACGCGTGACCTTGAAAATTTTAAAAATTTAGAGACTCCGCGCACTTAATATCCCGGAATTTAATTCAACAAATGTAACAACCCTAAGCAGAACACATTCAATCAATGTTCACGCGCCGCCACTGTGGGTAACTCCTCTATGCTTACTATTTAACATAAATACTAGATTTACTTACAATTTAAGTATATCTTACAATTTAAGTAATACCGTTCATACTAACCTCTAAAGCGGCTCCAACTTGTCTAGACAACATTTCTGCATTTAAAAGTGAACCAACTGAAAGTCCATTATTTTGGTTGTTTTCTTCATAACTAGGCCTTCGACAACTAATTCTATCTCGTTCATTTTGTACGGCTGCAATAATATAAAATTATAATTATTAGGAACCAAAACATCATACTAACTAACCTTCTTTTTTCATGCCAGCTTTAAAGCATTTTTTAAGCCGACAAAATCTACACTGATTCCTTTTGTCTTTATCAACCACACAATTTCTACTAAATCTATAACAAAGAGATGAAGCATATTTAAAATATATTTTACACATAACTTCTTAATTAAAAAAGTAATGAATAAATAAAACGGAACCACATCTCTAAAATCAAAGTAACATCTGTATAAAAATGTATATTTTTTGAATTTTTCTGCAATTATATATGGTACTCAGAAAATTTTTATAGAATGCTTTAAACAATTATATTTTTTATAATAGCATTTCACTATATGTTGATAGCATTACTATTAGCAAAAATATTTATTTCTTCAAAAAAGTTATTAGATATTAAATTACAATGAATGAAGAAGCCGTTCTTAAATAGCTAATTTAAATAATATAACAAAAAAAAAAAACAAAAAGCAATGAAAAATAGGAACTACACTCCAATTCATGTAAAGAAGGAATAATATTAAGTAGAAAAGAAATAATAAGAAAACAAGTATTGGTATTGTGTATAGTACACATAGACAAAGTTCCTCTAAACCTATCGAACACGGACAACAAGGACAAGGAATCAATTCAATAGAAAATAAATTGGTCTTAGAAACCATTTCATCGTAGACACTATAATAATATCAATCAGGAATAGATAAACAGGGAACCAAATACAAATTTCCACTGGAAGTGCAGTTATATTCTGAAATTGATTCATCATCTAGCATCCAGTATCCTTCCAATCGTCATTCATCGTCACTGTTATTGGCCTTGTCATCCTCATCATCATCATCATCAGTGTCATCACCACCATTATCACCATCATCGCAACCAGATTTGCTCTCACCATTAATCACTCCCGCCATCATCACCACCAGCATCATCGGTCCCACCAGCATCACCTCCACTAGCATCATTACCTCTACCATTTTCACCACCAGCATCATCACGACCAGTATCATCATCACCTTCACCGCCACCATCATCGTCAGCCTCGTCGTCAGCGTCACCGTTCCCGTCGTTGTCCGCGTCGTTTTCATTCTCTTCCGCCTCATCCTCATCATGATTTTTTTTTTGTTTTTAAAAATTGGGCAGTTTCTGCTGATTTCTATACATCTGCAAATTACCCTCATTTCACAGCAAAGTTAAACAAATGACGTAATAGAAAAACAGTTTTATAATAAATGATATGTAATTAGGTCTAAATATCATTATGTTATTAAGTTTGTTTTCTGCAGCAAGTATCTAGTTACTAATTCGAAATAGATGACATTGATATAATTACTTTTCCCCGGGCTGAAAACATCACCAGACTTAGCGAAAACGCTGTTAAAAATAGACATCGAAGGCATTGACAATATTTTGAGATTTATCAAAAAATATAGTTACATGATATTGTACTAGAAATACTTAGAATGTATAAACGACAAATATTTTTTCATTGTTGTAATTGCCATAGATAAATTTTATCTGTTTTTTTAATTAAATCCTGTATTAAATAAATAAAACGTGAATAAATGAAACGTTACCTTAATAGTAGTGTGTCTTTTCATTTGTCTTTTCAGACCTTGCAAATCTAGCAGAATCTAGTTTCGAAGATGTCATGAAAACTTCGTTTATCAGTTGCACGACATGCCGAGACTTTTCGATGCAAATGATGATAGTCCTATGTTCACAAAAACACGCGCGTTTAGCAATACGACTTATAGGGACTATCTACCCATATTTAACCAAATATAGAAAATAAACATTTCGGTTCTTTTTTGAATTGATATGTTCTTCTATTGAAAAAATACTCTTATTAGAAATCGATACGAAATACTCCTGAAGAGCGAAATGTCTTGATGACCACGATGAATATACTGGATTCTACGCAAAAATAAATATTCCTTACTATTTACATTATATAGGTATGTAATTTGTAAAGATGATATGAATGTTCATAAAAATTCAAGATTGAGCGCTGCTCGATCAATGAGTTGAACAGGTCCGACAAAGTTTTAGTGAATGGAAATAGCAGCCAGATTACTTGTTACCGTTAATATAAACTGTAATCTATCACCTGACAAAATTTTCGTCCTACGAAAAGAAAAGTGATGCTTCTATAGGAGTTGTCATCGTTCAGAAACATACGGTTGTCGCACCTTTGAATCTATCTGGCGAGGATTTGGTGATGTCCTACAATAGCCAGACTGTATTTTTTCTACTATTTCAGATAGTTCCAATGTTATTTTCTAACAAAGTTTCAGGACTGAAAATAAGTATCATCAGTTATGTTTTATTTTTTCCATTATTTACGTACCACAGTTAGACTGATTTTTTTTACTGGCCAAGGATCATCGCAAGTTTCGTTAGTGCAACGCGATGTATATGTTCTAAGGTTCATCTTGGCTCGATCCAGCAGAAAATCGTTGCTAGACTTGGGATATGTTAAATAACAGTGTTAATCGAACGAACGACCGCATCTACATTCGCTGACAAAATAAATGACAAAAAAAATGTTCAACATCTTCCGGACTATACGTCGTTAGAGTTATGTAATAATAATAGAAATTTGTTTACATTTTTATGACAATAATTAGATAATTAGTTTTTGTTCATAGTGGCAATTATGCGTTTTGTTACTTATAGTTATAACTGTCATCTCGACTCATAGCTCCTGTGATATCTTCTGTTAAAATCAAAGTGTGGCGTGGAATATGGTGCAATGCAAGAAAAGTAATGTATGGAATATTTTTGTAAATTGTGAAGAAGGTAAGCGCATAAATAAAATTTGTTGAAATAAATTAAAAACGTCAGAAAATACTACAAATTTAATGGGTCACTACAATGAAGAAACATCAGAAATAGTTGTTGAAGGAGAATGTTTTGGCAGTGAATGGACAAAAGGATCTCCAAAATCGGTCTATAGATAATTGTAGGTATCTTTTTCCTTTAAGTAGGTAATGTTGTTTTTCAATTTTCTGCAGTTGATAGTTTGCTACTAATTTCACTTACACAAGACATTATACATAGACCTCGCTTAAATTAGTTAGGCGCATGTTTGTATTAAATAATAACGAGTCATGTTTTTAAGAATTAATTGTTTTACTTGGTTATATAATGTTAGAAGTCACATAAGTAATTTTTTTTAATTGTCGTTTATTATAATTACGTTACCTTGGCAAGATAAGTAATAAGCATTTGTAATTAATTGCTGTACAGAAAATTATAAAAATATTTTATTCTATATATCTATGTACATTACTGTGGTGTAATATGAATATTTATGTTCTTAGGTATTCTTAAAAATATTTTCGTTGTTTTTATACCTAGACAGTTCGTCCTGTGGTAACTTTACTGATAAAATAAAGGTGGTTGTAAAAAATATATTAGAAATCATTTATTATTTCTAAGAGTGAATGCCTAATCACTAACACAAACTGTTGGTGCTTTGGTTTATTTATAAACAAAAACAGATTTATTTTAACGACTTTTATTTTTATATTATTTCATTGGTAAAGCTCTCAAAGTTCAGAGACAACTGACTTATTCGGGTGGTGGCTGTAACAACATCATTAGTCCGCACAATCTGCAAAATTGCTGATATTGTCAATACATACTATTGAATCTGACCCTGGGCTTTATAAATAATTCGACATAAACATTCTTAAGGGAATAGAATTTTGCCCAACTGATTTATCATAACCAACACAAAGGTAACAAAATTGAATGAAGGTCCCAACATTTGCTACAAGGGTTGGGGAAAACTCCTACAAAAACCTAACCAGACCCATAATATCTCTATCATTACTTGATGCATAAAAATTAAATATTGTTTTATTTAAACAATTTATTTCTTGTGCTTAATATAGAAGTTCTTCTATATTTCTTCTGTTTTGAGTCCCATTTTTTCCCGCAATTCCTTGAACTGATGTGGTGGTAGTGGTCTTGTCAATAGGTCAGCTTTCTGATGACCTGTAGGCAAATATTTCAAACAGACAGTGTTGTTCTCTACTTGTTCACGTGTAAAATGGTATTTAATGTCACTATATTTAGAACTCTTATGACTCACTGGATTACCTGCCATTGCTATACAAGTTTGGTTATCTTCATACAATGTTATTGGTTCTGATATATCGACATTAATAGTCATTAACAAGGCCTCTTTTATTGACTCAAAAACAGCCATGTATTCAGCCTCGGTTGATGACGTAGCAATTGAATTGAATTTTGTCGTCGTCGTGTGAACCATGTCACTACCTACACAATTTTCAAATAATTTGAATAAACACCCTGTTGTACTTCGACGATCTAATTTATTATTTGCCCAATCCGCATCAACATATCCGCTTAATTTTTTTTACCGGAATTTTCATTACCGTTTATAAACTAATTTCATATTTATCGTTCCTTTTATATATCGTAATACCCGTTTTAAACATAATCATAATTCTTTATTGCTTTTATTTTAACATCTACTTAATAGATTTACAGAAGTACCTACATAAATCTGGACGGGTACAAGTAGGGTTTGCAATCCTGCAGTCTTTTTTACAGCTGGAAATTTGCGGTAAATTCGCCTTTACAGCGGGATCCCGCTGTAATTCCCGCGAAAGATTTAAAAATATATTTATATATGAAAATAATGCTATTATTGTGGAATGTTGTATTTAATTAAATGAAATATAAATAATTCTTGGTATTTAAAAATCAAACAGATAAGCATTACCTATATACAGGGTGGGCCATTAGTGTGAGAAAGTAAAATAACTCCCTTGTTACTCATAATACAGAAAAAAAAGTTTATATAAAAGTTGTACAGAATCAAGAAACCTAAACTACAAAATTAATTTGAAACATTTGAAGAATTTTCTACATAATTTGGTAACCCTTCACTAAAATGTTAAACTGTTTATATTACCATATACAGAATTTTCTCAGAAATCCATATGTTTAGAAATATACAGGGTGTTTCATTTAAAAAATGTAATATTTGGCGTGTCCCGTTTTTACTAATCGCCTTGTATATTTCAAATTAATTTTGTCCTTTAGGTTTTTTGATTCTGTACCACTTTTATATAAACT